GTGTGTGTGTGTGTGTGTGTGTGTGTGTGTGTGTGTGTGTGTGTGTGTGTGATATGAGATCAGATTTCTCCCTTCTCGTCTTAGACAGGACAGTAGCTTTAGACCATCTGCTACTGAAATAAAGCGTGTGAGTCTGTGTGCAGCATATCTGAAATATCATGGCTATTATCATGTGTTGTTGGAGTGGGTGAGCAAGGGGTCAGTAAGGATTGAATAGTGGCTATGAAAAGGAGCTGAAAAGTCTAACACTTTTTTGTTGTTGTTCTGCTGTCCAGCTTTCAGTGTAGAGAGGAAACTCCACATCCACAGCATCACTGTAACAACAAGCAGAACCACTGAGAGCCGTCACTGCAACAGCTGCCACGAAAACCAGCATCCCATTCAACCATCTGTGTGGCAGCTGTCTGCAGTTTATAGCTGATAAGAAGTTCTGGTCCTCCTCAGAAGATGATGACAATGATGATGTGCAGTTCGCTGGTCCTGCTTGGGCTGATTGGCATCAGTGCTTCATCCAGCGGAAGTTCATCTTCCTCACCCCGGATGATGCTGTCTTATAAAGGTGATGAAGCTGGCTTGTATCACATGTACATCTGTATACATGTGTTTAGGTTTCTGTTTTTATCTCTTTGTGTTTTCATGTTTCTTCCAGATCTCCAGCAGTTTAACGGCATTAAGCGGTTTGACTTGGAGCGTTCGTGTTGTTTCGGAGCTCTCCTATTGGACGAGGAGAGGGGGCGGCTGTTTGTTGGAGCTCGCAACTTTCTGTTATCTCTCAGTCTCGACAACATCAGCAAACAGGAACAGAAGGTACAGCACACTCCTTACTCCTTACTTCATCCATAATGGAAGTGTGAAAGGAAACATCTTCCCTTCAGTACCGTATGTCTCTCATCAGCTAATTAAATTTTAAACAAAGTTGTAACCCTGTCAATCATAACTATAGCTGGGGACAGATTCACAAAAATCTTCTTCAGAAAAAACGTCTCGGGTTACGTATGTAACCCTGGTTCCTCGAGGGAACGAGACGCTGCGTCGGACAGATAGCTCGCAAGCATCTGTTCTACCCGGGGCATCGTCTTATAACCGTGCTCATTCATCCCCGCCACATTGCCATAATAATTGGAGGTGGGAATAAAGAGGCGGGCCAAGAATGGTCTTCCCCACGACTTCAACACCTCGGTGTGGAGGTCGGGGAAAAAAGGCAGGCTCCGGCGCGGAGGTGGTGGCTTAACACGCAGAAACCGCTCATCCAATTTGCTTTTCTGCGGCTCAGCCATCTTCTCGGCGGGCCATTCAATATTTAGTTTGGCCACGGCACGAGTTACCACCTCCAAAAGCTCCTCATACTGGGGCGATTTGAGGGGGCGAATCCTCGTCGATGCCCACCACATCAACCTCCTTGGAGGAAGACAGGCGGAGCGCCGAGCTCGCTCCCCGGGGGGAAGTAACCGCAGAACGCAGAACGAGCGCTGGATCTGGCGGGTGAGGAAGAAGATAGGGACTCGCCCGTCTCCATTCCCTCCGCCAGTTCCAGTTGCGAACCCCACGAGCGTAATCGCCACGCGAAGGCACCCTCAGCAAAGAGTGCCTTCCGGGAGTGGAGAACATGCATAGGAAGACGCTCGCAATGCAGGCAGCCAGCTCTCTCAAGAGCTGACTCAGCATGCTCCGCTCCCAGGCAGACAA